TGGGAACTTTTTTCTTCGGAGTGTCGTGTTCTGCCCTCAGAATTCAAGGACCTGAAAACACTAAAAATTTAGCATATCAATACTGGTAGCAAACACTTTGCGTGAAGAGACGTGTACGTGAAATCGTTTTGGCGAACATTTTTTGCTGCTACAATACTTCTTCTGCGGCTTGTACCGCTTCTGCTAGCCTACCGTGGGGCTATACAAGTAGGGTGGGCACGCCGCATTTTTTGAACAGAAATGTATGTAAGTGGGACTGCTGCCCGCTACTATACTGTCACGAGAATCGGGGAATTCGTGAGCCAGGGGGAGTGTAGCCAATCTAGGGGTGGGGGGGGGGGGGGGGGGGGCAGGGTGAATATTGCTTGAGGATTCCTCAACGGCACGTCGAGGATTTTCGCCTGATCCTTTACGTTCTCGCGCGCGGATATTCACTCTCGCCACCCGCGAGCCGTCTGTGCTCTCCGCGCGTTTCTCGCACAGCAGAGAGCGATGGTCGAGGAATTCCTCGACCGTTATCCAATCCTGGGGAGGGGAGTAAGGGCAGTCACTCACATGCGTGAAAAGCTGGACGTGCCCACCCCTCTTGCATAGAGCCCGTGCCGTCTACCGCGGACGTGCACCATATCGTGTCCACGGGCAAAACTTCACCCTCTGCAGTGGGAATGTTCTCCGTACATTAACAGCCGATCCATCGCGATTGCTGTCCTTGAATTACACTTTGTCTTACTTGGCAACATGGTAGATCACATGAGAGAACTGTGCAGTTGTGCACGGTTGTGCCTGTACGTAGGTGTTTCGGAATGCCGTCACCACACCGTCGACGCCGGTACACGTGGGATCCGTTTCAAGATTCTGTAAATGTGCCGATAAACTGAAAAAGTCATCGAGTGAAGTCAGAAGTCAACAAACCAAGCAAAACTCGTGCGATTCTCGATAAAGGGGTGGTATTCGAGCACCAAAACCGTAGGCGGTATAGGCGTTTGATCTGCAACAGCACGATAATTAGTAATACCTGGAAAAGACAAAGTGTCAATGATACCGATTGTAGTCAGCAAAGGTGTCTCCAACTGAGCGAATGGCGAACTCCACGTTGTCGGTGAAGTTCACTTGTGATTCGTGGTCTTGCGCTCCCTCGGCATCCGAAAAGTCGATAGCGAACGCGAAGTTCAATATGGTACTGTAATGAAGGAAACTGTCAATGCCTCTCAAAAACTCCCTTTTGAAAC